CCAGCCACTCCAAGGCAGGGGGACAGAGTACTCTGCCAGACCAGACCAGGGATGCGTCCTTGCCCTTGGAGCTGGCAGGGTAGGGAGGAGGGGCTGTCCGCAAAGGAAAGGTGGACTGTCATTACCAAAGAATGTGGGAAGAGATGCGGGACAGGCCCATGCAGTGGACACCCACCACAGTGGCACAGGCAGATACTTGGTAAACATTAGTGTGGTGGCTGCTGCTGTTCCCTTGAGTGGAGCAGAGCTGAAGTGGCACATGATTCTTATTTGGGGACACTGAAGGCAAGAAGAAGGCTAGGGGCTGATAAGAGAGATGACTTCCCAGGCCATACACATGAAATCTGGAACAGGCTCTAGGATTGCCTACTGGAATTAGAGTCAGATTGTGAATGCCAAACTAAGGGTTTGCTCTTTAGCCCATGGAACACTGTTTCTTTAAAACATTAATAGATTTTTGTGGAAAAAAGGGGTTCTGTGGTCAAATAAATCTAGACATGCATTAAACAAAACGAACGAATTTCCTGTGGAACTTTTCAGAGCCTTTCATGTGCTAATATGTGTACTTAAGAACATCGGAGAGAGAGAGGAAATGCCGTGTTTCTCAAACTTACTTAACTATGGAACCCTTTTATTAAAGTTCATCTTATGGACTGAGTGTTCTTTGGAACACACTTTGGGAAACCATAGGAGCTGTTAAAGTTCTTTGAGCAGAAAAGTAACATGTCTGACTGTGTTTTGAGGAGATCACCCTGGCATCTGTTTGCAGGGTGGAGTGGAGGCAGATAGAACAGAGGCAGTTGACACCAGACTGGAAGTCATTGTGACCCACATGAACCCAGCACAGAGTGGCTCCCACCCACCTCCCCAATCTCCTCGTATGTCAGTCTCCCCCTTGCTCAGTCTGTTTTAGCTACCCTGACCTTCTCTATATTTATCGAATACTCTAAACCCGGGGTCAGCCACCTTTACCTGTAAAGGGTCAGACAGTAAATATTTTATGCTTCGAGGGCCATAGTCTCTGTGGCAACTTCTCAACTCAGCCAGTGTAATGCAAAAGTGCCAGAGATAATACATAAATATACACGTGGCCATGGTTTGCTGACCCTGGCCTCAGAGCCTTTGCAACTGCTGTTCCTTTGCCTGGAGTGTTCTTTTCTCTGATCTTCTCGTTATTAGTGCTATTCCTTCTCCCCCAGAGAAGCCTTCCTTGACCCCCTTCTTCAAGGGCCTGTGCCCTGTTTATGCTTTTTAATTATTTTACTTATTTATGTATTTTTCTCTGCCTTTCTAGTGCTAGCTCTGTAGGCAGGGCTTATGTTTGTCTTGTTCACTGCTGGGGACTGGCCTGTAGCAGGTGTTCAGTAGGTGTTTATGAGCTGGATACTCGGAATGAGATGGAAGAAGGTATGAGGATGATGTAGGGATTAGGAGTATGGGCTGGAATGGAGTGGCGGATGGCCGGCTTGGGACTGTGAATGCACGTGGTGACCCATGTCATGGACAGCAGCTGCCCAGTGCCTTGTGTTTTTCCTCCGAGACCCTGGAAGTGGGATTTGGCAAGAAGCTGTGGTTTGTGGGACAGCAGAAATCCTTAAACTAGTGATGCTTGGAAGTGCTTCTTGTATCAGAATGTCAGGACTGGAAGGGGCCTTGGGCTTGTCTAGCCCCTCCCTCACATTGTACACGTAGGGAGGATAGGCCCTGCTCAGGGTCATGTGATGAGTGAATGGCTGTGTCAAGCCTTGAACCTGCCTAAGCCAGGTGCTTTTCCTGTGCTCAAGTGGAGGTCTAGGCAGCCTCTCTCCCACTGTCCTCCCACATTTCTTTGAGCACCTGCCAGTGCTCTGTGCTATGGACTCAGATGGATTTGTTGTTAATTTATTCATCCAACGAACATTTGAGTGTCTACTGATGCTAGGTCTACAGCAGTGAACAAAGAGACAAAGCTCTACTTGTTTCTCATGACTCTCATACACATGTGGTCCTTGCCCTCTGCTGTGAATCTCTCCCACACCAGCATATCTGCCTGTTGATAGAGGATAACAGGCAGGCTTCCCTCTAGTCTTAATTCTGTATTGAGTCTTATCAGCGCATGGCTGCATGGAGAGGGAGAAAAGTGCTGAGATAGATTAGAGATGCCTGCCCCAGTCAGGAGAGTGGGTGGCTGGCGTGTGTGCCATCTGTTTGACCTTTCTGACTAGCCTAGGCTTGCATATACTCAATGATGTTACCGTGGTGCCAGAATATATACCAGGAAGGACCATTCCAAACCTTAGAGTCGTGTGTGACTTGAGGCACAAAGAAGAAATTTCTAATAATAACTAACGTGAGTCAGTGGTCAAGTGTTGGGATCTAGGCTAAGTGGTTTACATATATTAACTTACTATTAATTTGTGTACGCTTTATAACAACCCTAAGAGGGAGGTGCTCTTATTATTCCCACTTTGCAGATGAGGAAGCTGAGGCACAGAGGTTTACAGGGCTCAGCCTGCCCAGTTGGAAGTGAGCAGTACAGCCAGAATGCCCACCCAGGTTTGCCTTCTCTCATACTTGTGCTTTTTTTTTTTTTTTTTGTAATTATTTATGCCTACAGCGCCTGGTCTTCCTAGGTGGTCTCCCATCCAAATACTAACCAGGCCCGACCCTGCTTAGCGTCCGAGATCAGACATCAGGCTTGTGGTGGCATGGCCATAGACCATGGACCGTGGCTCCACTGGTGCACGAACCCAGGACCTTCTGCATGTAAAGCAGACGTGCTAACCACTACACTGTGGAACCACGTCCTTCATACTTATGCTTAACCACCGTGCCTTCCCACTTCTTGGTATGAAGTGATCAGTGAATTGATGTTAGAGGAGCCTTTTAGGGGCCATGGGCTGTGCCATAGGCTGAGGGCTTGTCAAGAAGGCAAGGACTCTGAAGGAGCTCACAAGTTTATATTGATTCTGTCATTAAAGCTAATAGAGCTTCTTTGAAAGACCAAAGCAATATTATTATTGTATAGTGACCCAACATTCAGTCTGAGAAGTGAGGTATGCATTAAACAGCAAGAGAACATCAACTTAGGCCTTCGCTGACACCACTGGTGAATTTGACCCTGGCCTTCTGTTAGATTGGCTATATGGAGTATAGACTCATAGATACTTTATAGAGCAGTAAGTAGACTCATTTAGTCCCTGTGTCAGATGGGGCACAAAGGCCTGAGGTTCCTTGAAGTCAGAGGCTAGATGGCCCTGGTCAGGAATGACCTCGAAGGACCCACACCCCGCTGACGTGGGCCTCCATTCCCAGCTCCTGGCCGCTCTGTATTATACACCAGCGTCTGCTTTCGTCCCAGCGCCTTCCTTTTGGCCCGGAACACCTAATTTTGTTACTTCTCCAGAGGGCCTCTGGCTAAACCCCAAAACCAACAGCATGGGCTGCTAAGGAATTAGTGTTAAATTGAGGGGGACAAGGAGAGGTGGTATTTCTGATCCTAAGAGACAGCCGAATGTGGTTTGGTTTACTTCCCTGTAACCCAACCTGGGTCGATTTTACAAGACCAGTGATCCCAGCACTTGAGGTTAGTATTGACCTGGTGTGCGGGTTACAAATCACGTAGCACAGCTGCAGCCAAACCTCAGTTCTAAGAGGCACGGGGGCTGTGGTGCCTTAACTGTGGAATGGTCTAAAGGAAATGCAGTTTTTATAATTGAGTAAATGAAGCTCCAGACTTGCTGTAATGAAGAATTATGCCTTTTTTTTTTTTTAATTGAAGGTTTCAGAGCTAGATGGACTCTAGATAATCTAGTCCAACCCTCTGATTTTGGAGATAAGGAAACCAGAGATAGAAGAGGTTAAGGGATTCATTTGTTCATTGTGTGTGCCAGTTACCTAACAAGTGATCAGGATCATGGAGATTTTCGGGGTAGGGGAGAGGATAAAAACCAGGTCTCATTCATTCATTCCACAAATGCTTACTGTGCACCTACTAAGGGCCAGAGTCTGACCTAGTGCTGGAAATACAGTGGTGAACAAAGCAGACAGAATGCCGGGTGTTGTGGAGCTGATATTCTAGTGGGAGTGGGGGAGACTTAATAAATACATAAAATATATGGTACGTCATGTGGTAAAAAGTACTATGGAGGGAAAGCAAGGAGAAGGAGATGATAGGGCCAGAGGGAGTATGGCATCACCAAGAAGGTGACATTCGAACAAGAATCTGAAGGAAATGAGGGACTGAGCGGAGCAGTTGTAGGGGAAGCACATTCCAGGCAGAGAGAATAGCAGGTGCCAAGGCCCCGGGCAGGAGTGTTGGAGCAACAACTGGGAGACCGATGTGGCTGTGGAGGGCCTTGGAGTCTGTTTGTGGGACTTTGGCCTTTACCCTGTGTGAGGCGCGGGGAACCAACTGGGGATTTTGAGCAGAGGAGTGGCGTGATATGCTTGGGTTTTTAAGAGGATCGTTCTGGCTGTCAGGAGGAGAATAAATTGTAGGAGGCAAGATGTTAAAAGAGGTGTTGCCTAAGGTTCAGGACAGGCAGGATTTTAGAATGTCGGCTTGGAAATGAGTTTCCGAAAGGCCATTGTTTTTTCCAGGCCTAAGGAATCCCGTTCAGCAAAGCATTGTGTGAGTCCTG